CCCACCTCTCAGGCTTGTCAGGGTCCCACTGGATCACATCTCTTCCTTCCAGCATGTCAACTGCACCACACAGCTTGGTGTCATCAACAAATGTGCTGAAAGATCCACCCGTAAAGCCATGTCTCTCTAGATTAGAGACAAGGATGTTGTACAGGACAGTGTCAAATGCCCTGCGCAAGTCCATGTAGATGACATCAATTGCTCTTTTTCAAAAAGACCTGAACTTGTGTGGTGCCTTTTGTTTTGAAAATTAATTTTATGCTGTTGAATAGAGAACACCAAAGTCTAAAAATCACTTTTCAAAGAGAAACAGTGTCACTGAGTGGAGATATTAGTTGTTGGATAAATAAAACTCTACTGCTATGAAGGGCATATGCAAAAGGTAGTCATTATAAAGACATGGAATTGTTATTAACAATGTTCAGTTTTATTTTAAAAGATATTTCATTTCCTGGTAAGCTAGAAATGAAACAGAATGTCCTAAGCAGAAAACCTGTACTGTGGAAGATACTTGTTCTAGACGCAGAAGGATTTATTTTATTAAATTATGATACAAATGCTTTGAAAGGTGGTGTTTACATCAAAGAAGATGCCATAACACTGTACTGATCTACATCTTTATTCTCCATACTTACCATTGTGCTGCTGTAGATTGTCATAGGAATAGAAGACTGGGAACAGAAATCTAGGATAGTTGTGTAAGGCAATGGTTTTAATAATCCATGCTAGTTTTAAGAGGCATGACAAACAGCTGATTTAGTATTTTAAATATAAAAATATCTAAGGTAAATGGCTAATACAGCGTGAGATAGGCTTTTTAGGCAATCTACCTAAAGTAGACATGTTAATAGTAATTGAAGCATAATAAGTATTAATAAATTACATTGTTACTACATAGTTTGTTAGGTATATTTCATTTAATCATAGCATGCCAAACCTTCCTTGCAATCAGACAGTACATTGTTCTTCCAGTCCTCTTCAAAAACTAAGCTAGTGACAGAATGAGTGTTCCAGTTGAGAGAGGCTGTGCTAGCATTAACAGCCCCTCTCCAGATTTGTTGCTGATCAGAGATGGCAGTAGTTGTGGCTGTGGAGCATTTCTGAAGGACTGTGGAAACATGTTCATACCAATTATTTCATTGTTCAGCTCCCTTACAGCATAGAGGGTTGTTACATGCTGAAGTAGAAACAAGTGCCCTGAATTTGTCTGTGTAATTCACCAGACAGCTGAGTGGGATGGATACTTGTGATGCCTGATCAAATTTCAGCACCAGTAACTACTTGTAAAAGGGAGAATTTTTTTAAAGACATGAAATTGGCAGCTAGCTACCTAAATAATTACCACATTAAACTTTGTCCATGGGCCTTAGCTGATGATGGGAAGCAAACTTCTCACCCCTTTATTTGGAATGGTTAGTAAGAGTGGTTGGTCTATTGTATAGTTGTCAATCACATTATGATATAAAACTATGGCAAACATTGTCTGTGAGAAACAGCTGCTATAAGTGAAAAGGTAAAGCATACTCCTTTATTTCTGGAGAATTTGCCTTTGACATTGGAAGACCTCTCCCAACAAAGGCAGGAGAGCAGTTTTAACAGTCACTTTGTTATCTGCTGCTCGGTATCTTGCAGCAGGGCAGTGATGCTGCAGCTTTAAAACTTCCGTTCTCTACATTCATCATGCAGAGTCAGGCTTTGAATGCTCTGAGCTCAGGGAAGTCAGAAATAGTTGTTCATCATAACTTTTATTCTAACAAAGCCATAGATTTAAGGTTGAATAAATGAAATGTGTCAGTTTTTCTGGTGTTAAGAGTTTTTTGTGATTAGGATTAAGTTTTGATGGAAAAGGTTATGGTTTGAAGAAGTGACTAAATTGTCAAATTAAAAATTTTTAGTGTATGCACATTTTGGCTATATCTATGAATGTTTTGCTTAAGACTGCAATATTTTAATTTAGTAGTTTCATGGAATGGGCTTTCCCTTTGCCTCTAGTATTCTGTGATTTTATAATGCTGTTTTCCTATTTAGAGTACATAAAAGGTAAATGAAAACAATTATAGAAAATGCAGAGAGTATAATCAATTACTTTTTGTCACCTGTACGAAGAAGTGACAAAAGGGCTTTCTGTTTGAAAAATGCTGATGTCTGAATAGTAGCAATTATGTGAACCGGAGATAGCAACCCTTGTTATCATTTCTTTATAGAAATTCAACTATTTTAAGTTGTCAGTGTATTACTTGAAAATAAAGTAACTGACAATACAAATAGGTATTTGACTACTGAAAAGTCATTAGTCTGCTAATGGTTAAGAAATTAACAGATATCCTAAATACTCCTATACAATAATGGTGACTATCTCTAGTTGTGTTCTCACATCCCACAGGATGTGGGTTTAAGGTTTCTTTGGTTGTTTTTTTCTTTTTTTTTAATATTATCGTAAATATGCAAAGGGTTTAATTTTTTGAGGGGTTATTTTGTGAAAGCTGGAGTGCATATTATTCCATCTGAAATCTGTGCCCAAAAAAATGATGTTGCTGTTGGGATTTTCTGTCTACTGCACACAGGGTGCAAATCCCCCTCCTCTCAAAGTCAGCCAAGACATTCTGTGGGTTTGACAATTGCAAAGAAAATTGTTAAGAGTTGGACACACACTAACTGTGGTGCGGTAGTGTCTTGGAATGAAATAAGTTTTTTTACATCCAACATTTTTTGGGGGTTATTTATCCTAGTTTCTGCTAATGGAGTTGTGTTATCAGTGACAAAAGGAGTACTGTTGTTATTAATGAGGCTCAAGACATAACAAAAAGGTCTGTGTGACTGACGTGGTAAATACCACCTCCAGAAGAATCGCCATGCTAAAATTTTTGTATCAAGCTCCTTAAAATGTTTCTTCCCCAGAATCCTTTTCCTTTTCTCTTGATGCCACATTAGAGAGAGCAAGCTAAAAAGAGTTTGCAGGTTTAATTCTGTGATTGCAAAGAACAAGGATTTCTGATTTCGTAAAATTTTATTTTGGCAAGATGTCCTTAGAAGCTGCTAATTCTCTACATGCTTGTCTAAAAAATGCAGTTCATTTTAATGTCTTGCTACTGTTTCCAATTTAGTAGAGAAGAAATTTGAGGCATTCTGGTCAATTCAATTACTCAGTTCAGTCTCTTCTCTAAATTGAGAGTAAGTTCTAGGGAGCAATAGGACTTACACAAAGCGTTTTACTAAAAGCACGCTCGTTTAGATTATTGATGCTTTAAAATTTTATGTCTTATATGTTATTTAATCAGAGAGGTTAAATATAGTAGTGTGTACTGTTTTATCCATTTGTTGCTTTGTACTTTTGATAGGCTGATCTCTGATAGGCAATGGGGTAGTAAAAAACATTTGGCATTTTTTGGAACAGATTTTGGAAATTACAGGCATTATAAAAGGCAATTGCCTTTTATATTTTCTTTTACCATACTTTAAAAAATGTATTTTTAAGAGGCAAGTCAATACAAGATAAAATTGCCCTTCCGTCCATTCCCAACTTACAAATACCCATTCATAGGGATATGTGAAAGCAGAAGAAAAGGGTACCAATCTTCAATATGAGGAATTAAGCCTGTATCAAAACCAAATAAGCTATATTAACATTGTGGGAAATTGCTGAGAAAAAGTAGTTTGACTTTTCAGACAGTATATGTGGTTGTAGAATGGATTGACCTTGGTTATCCAAAATGCATCTATATGATGGAGAGCTGGTTGATGTAAGCCAGGTTTTCAAAGATTAGGTGAAAAGAAGCTTGAATTAGTTTCTTACTACCTACAAGAGTGCAGTTATCTTCTCTCTAGAAGATATTAATTTGGGATTGAAGAAATTCGTAACACACTCAAGTCTGGTTGATGCAACCTGGTTATTATACTCTATGGGCATTAATGTTGTGTCTGGGCTAAAGAATAGTCTGAAGTTATTAAAAACGGGTTAATTGCAGTGAGGGATGGAAGGATTAGTCAAAACAGAACTTTTTCAATTTAATCCACTTAAGTACTATTGAATTACTATAAATATATTTTTAACTCCTGCCATATTTCTGATGTGTTGACGAGGTCTTTAAATTATAATTGCAGCTCTCTTAGCACTTTGTTCCTTTAAAAACAGAAATTTCTGGAAGGAATTCATCTAAACTGAGAATTAGCCAAATAGAGTTAATGATGAAAGGCACAGTAAAAAATCCCAGAGAATTAATATAGTTATGATATACCAAATAGTATAGAGTTATATATGTGTATGTTTATATATTAGTTTATACTGCTGCAGTCTTTAGTGTGATTTTAGAAAGAGTAACACACTACTCAGCTGATAATATGTATTTTGCAATATCGTCTCTTGCATTTTGTCAAAGGAGGTGTCTTGATAACATGAGCTGAAAAACAATTTTCAAGTGTGTGTTCTTCCTATGTATGGTTACTTCACTTATTTTTACCTCCAGGAGAACACAAGTTCTTGTTCAGAGGATTTAGGAAATGTTCTGCTTTCTATTGAGAAATTCTGCCTTATTCTCTTAAGTTCCACCTGGTTCTATAGGATCGTTTCCACTTTGTATTGTGAAGAAAGAGAGAAGAGAAATGTCCATATTGCCCTGTGATTGCAGCATGATGTGTTATGCATGCTGGTCAGGGTGAGATTTGCATAACAATGTTTCTATTGGTAAATCTGATATTGCTGATTCAATTTTAGAAAGCAGATAGAAGTATGCTTAAATTTGTTGTCACTTTACTGGCACATCTGCCATTTTCATTTCCATAGTTTTTTGAAGTCATTTTGATAATACTGCAGCTGAGGAAAATGAAGAGTCTATTCTTTCCAGGCAATTTCACTAATGGAACAAAATGTGATACATTGTATGGTACAGCAGCATGCAGAGAACAGTATGTATAGTTTTCAGATTTAACTTTACTTACCACAGTAAAAGATATGCATAGAAAGCATTTTTCTAATTTATTTTTTTAATCTGTTTTGTTTTCAGGCATTGCTATTTCTGATGAACTTGATAAGGTAAGATTGATAAAAGGTGTGTAGTGAGCAGTACAAAGAGACAGATGATTATGATAAGGCACATGCCACTGTCCTGGCATACATGCATCTGTTCTGTTGGGTTCAGAGGAAGTTTGGGTATGGAAAGCTGTATGGGTAAGTACAGTATATGTAGATACATTAAGATCTTGACCAAGGATGGGCTGTTAAGTATGGAAAAAAAAAAGTCACTGAATTTAAGAGACACTTAATGAGACCATGGAAATACTTTTGATCTTGACACCATCTTTGCTTAATACAGTCTTTTGGATTACTTAGTGTACTTTTGAAAACATTTAACCTTGAATAACTTTTATTCATGAAATTGAGTTCTGCATTCCTAGATATGATTTGTGAGGCTATTTAGAAATTATTTTTACTGCCTAGATTTACACAGGAATGCACAAGGCTTAAATATCAGTCTTTACCTCCTTGCTGAATGCAAAAATGGTCTCTTCTTTTCTGGCCATTTTTGATACCTTAGGCAGTTAACACGAATTTTAGTTCTAGGTGTAATAAATTCTACATCGAAAGAGTAGATCAATCAAGCTAGGTTTACTTAAGTACTTATGAAAACAGAACCAATTTTTCTCTCGCTTTTCAGCAGTGACCAGCAGTGTGCTTCTAGTGCCAAGAAACTTGTGTTGTTTTCTTGGTGTCAGAAACCATTGCTGTCAGGAAAATGAGTTCAAAAGGTATATAAGATACAGGAATAATACCTGATACAGAGCACTTTTTTTTTTTTTTTCAATGACTTTCATTTCTGCTGGTAAAGTGAAAACAAATACTTCTGGCACAAGTACATATAAAATACCTTCACTGCATTGAACTGGAAGGCCAGTTAGGTAAGGCTGATAAATGTTACTGTGCAGTCAAGTGCATCTGTCGCTGCCGTTTCCAAACTATGGCTTAAGTCTTCCCACTGTTTCCATAACTGGGCTCAGAAGTGATGGTAAACACAATTAGAAAGTCCTTCCATTAGAACAGTCACCTTTTAGAATACTTATGAAGAACTCAATTTGTTCTATTTCTGTTGTTGATACTCTTGGAGGGAGGAAAAAGACAATTTAGGCTAGACCCTGGTATCACACACTTTTTACATATATATTTTTTCAAATAATTTCTGGTTGGTTTGCTTGTTTTTTTAAGCTAGGACATCTTGTCCAAAAATGTTCATGTTTTTTAAATTTAGTTATTTGTTGGGAAAAACTGAAATAGAGAACTGAGTTGGGGAATTTCTACAGGATCCAGCTTGAGTGAAGAATCAGGGTTTTTTTGTTACTATATACTTTTTTTTTTATAATTTAAAACTGGAGGGTGGTAGATTTTTTAAAATAAAACTTGGAATTAGGTTATATACATTAATAGATTATTATTATATATTAATAGATTGAATGTTCTTGAAGTCAAAATCTATTTGTACAATAAATAAAATCCCAAACAATTAAACTCTTCAGCATGCGTAATTTGTGTAATACTGCTCAACAGGCTTTCAGCATAGATTTAGAAAATAGTGATTTTTTTTTTATCTCCATGATCTTTACTTAACTTCATTTCTTGTTTGACCCTTTAATTATTTTTAATTAATGTAAAATCTCGTCTGTGTTAAGAATATAAGCATGGCCAGGACCATTCTGTGGAATCTTGCCTCCTAGGAATGATCCCTTACGCAATATAATTCCTGAAATGTTCCTGTGACTTGTTTCTACATGTATTATTTGTCTTGGGCCAAAAGCAGCTAAAGAAAACCTGATAATAGTTGCTTTAACATTAGAAAGAGAATTTGTTTCTATTTCGCCTGGACACGTTCCCATGTGATTTTTATTTTTCAGGTATAAATGTAGTCAAGTTTTAATTTCTTATACATGCTGATACTAGAACTTCCTTATCTAAACTGTGCTGCCACTGAATAATTTTTGAAATAATGTTCATCTGTGGTTTGATTTAACAGTTGAACTCATCATGTGCATGGGGCTAGAACAGCATGGCCAAACTTGGCATTGGAATCCATTAAAGCATCAGCATCGTATAGATATTATGAGAGACATATAAAACTCCCCTGTATGAGTTTCCTTGCTTTATTTTCCCAATGAACAGGAATATTTTGGGGAACTAAGACAATGACAGAGTTCATAATTATACTGTTTTGTTAATCAACAATTATGAACCTAGAGAAAACAGAGACTGCATGTGTATGTTTCTTTATTTTTGTTTCTGATTGTCTTTTTTTAAAAAAATTATTTCTCTCCAGATTCAGTAACCTCTAGTTGCCTTTGTCGGGGAGTACTTTAATCAGCATTGTTGGTTGATGTAACTTCTTCAAGTAATCCAGTTAATTAGTTAGTTGCTTAGTTACTCGAGCATTTGGATTTGGAAAACCAGTTTGCTCTGAATCACTTTTGTGAAAGAGTGTTTCATTTAAATGGATTCTTGTCAAATATCTGCTAGTATTATCTTTTTTGTCAGTACTTAGAGCTTTTGTCCAAGACAAGGATAGAGAAAATACAGGCACACAAAGTCAGTCTTTCAGTCAATATAGAATCTTTCAGTTTGACATAATCTTTTAAAATTTCTGATTCACTAGTAACCTTGCAAAAAAAGCCAAAAGAATCCTAAAATTACTGCAATTAAAATAGATTTATTATAGAGATTATCTTCTTTTTCATTTACTTCAGGTTTGCAGAACTTGGTGTTCTGTCTCTTGATGATTCAGCCTCTGTCTCTAGGCCATGGAAGCTATGTAAAGTCAGAAACTGGCGCTGCAAGTACACTGTGTAAGGAAAGAAATTAAAGGATGCCTTATCAGTCACATATTTTAAAACTAAAATGCAGAGTGGATATGATACAAATTTCTGAACTGACTCTCCCTCATTGCCACTGAATAGAAACTATAGAAGGACTTCAGGAAACTGCACACTTCCATGCATAATGTGAAGGGTTTAATGTAAACAAGGAAGAACTAGGATGTTTGCCTTTTTTTTAATATTCACAGAGTTCTAGGCTGAAAAAAAAACTCTAGAGAAAAACAATGAAGAGTGAGACTTGTCCTAACATTGTGACATTTGTCTGGAATTCCTAATAATATCTTTTCAGTCACTTCAAACACATGTAATGTAATGTAGTAATGGGAGACAAGTATTAGAGATCCAGAGTTAGACCCAAGTGAAGATCTAAAAATTAGATTTTGACCCTCAATGTTAACATTAAAAAAAAAATTTCTATGGTGTATATATACTACTTTCTTAAAAGTAGTACTCTAAAATGAAAACAGTTTACAATTAAAATAAAAGAAACAACTGTTCTCAAGTCATAAAAATAAACAAATTTCTTCTCATCCCAAAGTAATTCTCACAACGGAGATTCCCTCAAATTCCCTATCTGAAAATAGTAATACTGAGCTTTTTAAGTGAAGCATAAATAAATGGATACACAAATGTTGTGCTCTCAGGTAGAGGCTGCATCCAGAAACCACATCTCAGCCCAATGTGAAGAGGAGAATCAGCTGTCTGTCAATCTTTCCCTTCTTTTCCTTTTCTCCACATACAGGAAATTTGAGTATGTGAAATTGGTAGTCACTGATGTGGATGAGTGAATGACACCTGGGCTGCGCTATTAACTAGTCTTCTTTGGTTTAGTGCTGATTAAATATCTACCTGTAGTGAAAATATTTCTGTGCACACTAATGTCACTGTTAATTTCTTCTGTTATTTATGGGTGAATATAAATTGGAAACCAATTATGATTCTAAAGTTTATATGAAAAAAAATAACCAAAACTATAAAATCTTGTTTGAGAACAGAATACTTCAATTCAATATTTTGCAGTCTTTGAAATAGACTGCCAAATAAACATCCTGGTATTCTGAACAGAGCTATCTCTGATTCTCCATTTAGTGTTTTCACTGAGGCTGCTTATATAGTTGAAAAGAGGACAATAAATTAGGTCACTGAAACCATAGTGTACTAATCTAACACAATTCAAAAAGGAAAGCAAGATGATACAGTGAGGCAAAGCACGACTATGTAATGTAAATTACATTTCTGTTAAGTATGAAAGTGCTACTTTATCCCTAAAATGCCTATGAAAGAAATTAGCATAGCAAGGACAGTCACAGAATTCATGTTTTACTTATCAATGTGTTGATTTTGCAGTGTGTGGTGTCAGGAAAAACTTACAGGCAAATTTTTAGGTGCTTTGCATTTTTATTTAAGGGACTGAAAGCTTTGAGAAAGATTGACAGTGCAAGTTATTCTAACTAACTAGTTCAAGGAACCATTTTTATTATTAGAAATTATTCTAGGGAGAAAGAGAAGCGATAAAATAGCTAAAACAGGAATAAACCTCAAAAGGGGCCGTATTGTTAATATTTAAACTAATGTAAGCACCTTGTGTAATGAAGGCATTATAGGAAGTGAGATAAAGTGAGATGAAGCTTTTTTCTAAGCTCACAAGAACTGTCACTCCTGTGACAAGTTACACTTGTCAAGCCTCCAGAGGTGACTGTCCTCTAGTCTACATTACCTGACAATGTCACGGCTCCAAATAGACACACGAAACATTTATGGGTACATAAAAAAACCCAACACCAGTGGTTAAGTATCCTAAAACATCTGAAGCCATGGATTCAATTTTCAGTGGTCCTTGCAGAAAATAAGCATTGTGTAAAAGTGAATTAGTCAAGTGATGAAGAAATCTGGGCAGATATATGGGGAGTGGAGTGTAGTAAACCTCTCAGAGGCACATTGCAGAAAGCAAAACGAAAGAACAAGGGTGAATGAGTCAGATCCAGAGCCTGGGTTACATTTGACTCTCAAAATAGAGGTTCTTGTCCTCAGTAAAATTGCAGCATCTAGCCAGAGGAGGTTAAATAAATTTATATTGAAAGCACTTTGCAGCTATTTTTTGTTTGTTTGTTTTGTTTTGTTTTGTTACTTTCATTTCAATAGAGGCCTCTACTTCAAACTGCTTTTACTGTATCTGTTTCAATTAGGAGATTTCAAAAGTGATTTGTTTTTAGGAAGGAGAGAAAATATGGTTTCTAGGCTATGTAGTCAGTGTGCTGCGCTTTTTCCAGGTGCTTTTTGTTTGGAAAGCGTTCTTTTATGACAGGAATATTTATTGAGGCACTATGTTAGGTAACAGCCAAGGATTTGCTTTCCTATAATTTTCACTCATTAAATGATAGGAATATATCTCTTCTAATTAGGTACACTGTGTTTGATGTCTTTAGTAGCCTATAAACAATTTACTTAAAGAAAAATAATTATTCCTATCCCATAAATTCGTATCTTTTTTTTTCTGATATACAAGTGTGTTTTTTAGTTTCACTGTGCTGTTATACATGACCCTTTATCTACAACCATTCCAGTAAAATTGAAAACAGAGATATTGACTACATCACCGTGCTTTTTCATACAATTTAAGAACAACTTGTTTCTTTAATCTAAATTCCTAATATGATGGTGCAAGTTATTGCTATTGTTTTGAATGTGTCAGTTACATTTTGTTTGCTTCTTGTAATCCTGTCCAGTTTATTGTCCTCCAGTAAGTGGTTAAAAATAGTTTCAGAAATGCATTTTATTCAAATGTTAATACCATTTTCAGAATAGAAAGATACATTATGTAATGCCCAGCAGGGTTGTTTTTAAAATGCAAAATGCAGATGTATTTATTAGTTTTGCATTAATTCATAATTCAAATAAGAGTAATGGTATTAATCTACAACAGTCTTTTGGTTGGTTTTTTTTATACAAATGGCCTCATGTTGCTTAGCAGAACGGATACACTGAAGGTTTTACGAGTTGTGCATTTATTAAAAAAAAGTGATTTTTTTCAGTTGCAATTAAAAAAAATAAACGAGTGATTTGAGGCATCAGAGCATCAGGGTACAGATTTATTTATTGGAATTTTGTTAATGGGGAACTTTTCATTAGTCTGTTATTGTTTCTGGCTATTTTGTAGTCCTCTGAAATGATACTGCAATGTATTGGTTTTGTACTTTTTAAATATTTTTTATCTTTTCTTTCTCTGTTTACATCTATGATTGAGAATAGTACATTGCTTCTTTTTTTTTTATTTTCACTTCTTTTCAGGACACAGCAGGTTTTAACACCCCCCTTCTCAGACCTCGTGTGATTGGAGAATGGATTGGCCGTGAAGAGAATGATGCAGACCCTCTGGCTGCTGAGATGCTGCAGCCACCAATACCAAGAAATAAAAATGAGCAGTGGGACAGTGAGGATAGCAGCAGTCCTGGAGGAAGGTGGGTTTTTGATCTGCCCTAGAATCATTATATTTTGTGAAACAGAGCTGTCTTACAAAAATTTCATTTCCGAGGGCAGAGTGCACGGCTTTTGAATTTCCATGCCATAGTGTGGGCACATGCAGAATAAATAGAAGTTATTAATATGTGATGTTTGTCTTCTCATGCTTTTATATATGATTAACTTAATACCATTTGGATTCCTTTGGATTTATTCCCATGTGAAAAGTTAAGTGTATTTGGACATGGTTGGGGTCTATTGTGTAATAATGTTGTGATGTATAGCTTCATTCATATACTTCATACCCTCCATACCCATCTTTCCAGGGCTGGTAGTAGCTATTTATTAATCATCTTGACACTTTAGTGATAAATCTGATTTTCTAATTTAAGGGAGAGATAGACAAGGGAAACAGTATCTATGTTATTTTTAACAGGATTTCCTAAATTCATTTTCATTCCACATCTTAGCTTTTTGGTGTTAATAACAAGTCTTTCTCAAAGATACAATTTTGTTCTCTGCAGTAAATAATTTCTGAAGATTTATTGTGCTTGACTGAAACAGTTTGTGCTTCAGATACATGGAAGAGATTATAATACAAGGAGTCCATTTAACATGATTTAAAGATATGTTTATCACAGAAGGTTAAACACTCACAGCTTTGCTTTAAAGGGTTTCATGTCTTTCTTTTTAAGTGTAAATCTTTGGCACTGCCTCTGTTAATTGGCTTAAACACCTACATTTCTCCCTTAGCCTTGCAGCAGATCACCTAGGTTATAACTAGTACTTTGACTGCAGCAGACACCTTTTTCTTCCTTTTTTTAGAAGGCAGAAACTCTGCTTTCCCTTTGAAAAGGTCTAAGGTATTTCTTTATAGTCTTCCATGTGCCTTCTACATTGGAATTCACATCCCGGTCACACTGCAACTAGTGTGTCACTAGCTGTGTTCTTACAGACTGCATTCATTAACTTTCCTCACATCTTGGGAATATTTGTTATCCATGAGTACTTCATTTAATTAGATTGTCGTGGGGGTGACTGTGAGTATTACTGTTTCAAAGAAGTAGCAGCATGTAGTAATGATCCCTCAGCCAGATCTTGGACAGGAACCAGCACAACTCAGACTCTGCATCTCTCCAGTGCCGTTCCTGGGAAAATAACGGAGTCAGCAACTGGCACTGCAGCTTGATTGTGTAGGCCTGAGTTTCTTTTTCCTTATTCAGCAGTCCAATAAAGGCATTGAATAAAGACCTGTTCCATGCTTCAGAGCAAATTGGGGATATTGCATCTCTTCTGTCAGTAGGAAAGAGAAGAAATAAGCATCTCTGTCGTATTTCCAGAAGGGAGCAGAGGTCTAGTTCTGAGCAACAGAGATGATTCAAAGCAGCACATTTTTCTCTTTGTAGAGTGGTACAAGCTGTGAGAAACCTCACAGCTAATGCTATACTTAAAAATGTGATTAGTGTCTTTGAGAATAATATTTGAGGAGTCTTGTTGAGTATCATGACAAAATCATGTTGCCTGGTGTGTGAATAAAGAGACTATAGGGAACTTGATGCCAGGAAAGACTCGGGGGGTACTGATATCTCTGTTTTTAGGTACAGTAAGTGCTGAAGGCCTATTGAAAAATATGTATTGCTAAGTGGGAGTACTGATCTTCAGTGGAAATGAGTAACTGCTAAATTACATGCAGCATATGGATTTACATTTGGATGACTGATTTAATGTCTGGGATAATTCTTTGATTCATTAGCATTTCATCAGCTTTTGTACGCCATTTATGAAAACCATGTTTGCAGTCTTGCAAAGGAATCATAAAGTTGCAGAACTTCAAGATAGTAGTGATACTAAAATTGATGCCAACAATATATGGAAGTTTAAAAGACCCATGTTGATCAAGGTTAATCTGAATATTTAATGATAGTTCACTAATAACTGGCAGTTGTTTCAAGGTCTGATTTAGTGTTAAAGTGCTATTGGCAGAATTTTGGAATTGACTGCACATCAAATGCACGAGGCAAGTACTGGATAATAATAACTTAGTTTTAATGTAGCAAATAACTAGTACATCTAAAAATAGTGGGAACAGTATGTTTTGCTCTCAAAAGAGTGACATTATCAGTTGTAAAGAAATTTGGCTATGTCATCTGTATTTCATTAATCTATTTCATAGTTAATGTAGCCTTAAATAGTTAAGTTACATTTTGTAAACGTAAGTTTCATTTTGGCAAATGAAAGAGAGGGCAGTTTGAAAAATCCACTTTAATGTTTCAAATTTTATATTGGTAAATTTTATTTAACAACACTTCTAATAAAAAAGTGATAGGTTATTGATCACTGTTTATCAGGATTTATGGGATAAGCCAGCAAACTCTTAGAAATAATTATAATACTCAGTTAAAATATAAGAATTGGAAAGTCAAAACTGTAATTGTTGCATTATTTCCAGGTCGTATGTTTAGTTTTACCTGTCACTAAACATAAGGAAAAGGTACGTATATGAAACACTATATAAATAAACACTATATAAATGTGTTTAGACAAAGGATTAGACATTGACATTGGTAGAGTAAATGCCATTGGTGTGGTGTGACAGAACCACAATTTCCTCCTGAAAAACATGCATTCCTGTGATGATGAACAACAGAAGCAGACATGTCGTATTTGAAAGCCCAGCCCAGTAACTCAAAAAAAGGGGAAAAAAAGAGCAACTGAAAGGAGAGGTGTCGTTATTGCTTTGACTGGGAAAGTCAATGTAGCCAGTCTGAGATCGCTGTATTAGTGATGTCTTTTCAAATGGACAAAGGGTCACCTTTTTGTCCTTTATATTCTGGATTGCTACAGAGGAGAGATTGTGTTTGTCACTGGCTTTCCTGTCTGTTGCTGCTATAAGGAAGAAAGGCAAGGTATTAATGATAAGAAACCATAGGAAAGTGCTGATGGCAATCCTGCTGGTACCGAGCTCATCTTTCAGAAATTTGAACTCCGTGAAAATGTGATTAAACTCATTTCCAAGTCACTGTTAACACTTTTCTATATGAAAAATTTCTTGGAGGAATTCTGAGAAGATGCAAGGCTCTTGGAAATCATCCTCCAGGGATAATGTATGTACAGAATGGGGAATTTGAGTGGTTTTTATTACGATACTTCTGTCTCTTAGAGTGTGAAATGAATTTGAGCTTGCAGAGGCCCCATCCATAACCTGATGTCCTAAACTCAAAACCTGTTCTTCATCTCCAAAGTGCACTTTGTCTTGTTAGTGTTTATCTTTGCCAGAGAAATGAACAATTGTTGATTACACTAAAAATCATACATTTGCAACAAATCTGCCTTCCTGCAGCAGACTGTAAGGACAGTAAGGACTGAGGTGCTGGTGGTACACTCATGTGGGGCACCAAACTTCTGACTGTTTTATGTTGATACAGTAAGGACTCAGAAATGGCAAACTGTAGCAAGTCCTGCCTTAGGCCCTTCTAACATCTGTGCAATTCCAGTTCACTGTTGTTTAGGTCAGAGACACAACTCTACAAATCAGGAAAATTGTTATAACAGTTAATCCCCTTAATCCTGTGGGGTAATGGTATCAAAACCACTCAAGGGAGCAGGTCTTTGTTGTCAACTTTTTGCTATGTATCAATGCCTTACTGATTACTAATTCCCATGTTGTTCTGTACATGTAGCTTACTTAGACTTGATTAGTGCACATAAAGGCAATGGGAAATTTTCCAAATTTAATCAAAACTTTAGAAACTGAAAACACAAAATGTCTTAGGACATCCAATGATCTGGGAATGAGTGATGCATTTTGAAGAGAGCACCAGTAAGAGAAAGTTGTGCTTTCCTCCCTCACAGCTTAAAAATGGAGCCAAAGACCAAAGGATTGAAACATCAACAGCAGCAACATAAGAAACTGCTGGCTGCCATGCTTTCTCAGGACTCCTTTGATTCTGCTCAAAGTACAGCTCCATCTGTAACCGAAGAAGACATTGACAATGAAGACGATGCAATGGAACTACTGGGTAACTGCAAAAAATTATGTGTATTTTCTGAATTTTTTTTATTATAAAAAATCAAACAGAGATTAGTCAGAAACTGCTGCCTATATTTGAAGCTAAAGTATTCAGCTGTGTGAAGTTTCAGTAGGGCTTAACATGAAAATTTCAGGAGAAATGTAAGGAAGACCATAAATGTGAATAAACAGTGAATAAACTCCCAGCTGCATCCAAATTCCATGAAATCAAACGCCTCAGGTGCTTAAAGTAATTAATTTGGTTTCCTACATAAATCCCTCCCAGGGTCTACTTGCAGAAAGTATTTCTGTACAAGGAATAGAATCAGCTTCGCTGTCTTTCATCTGGTTCTTCTTTTTGTTAGCTGTATCACAGTTTTAACTTCAGTTGATTTTTTTACTTACTAGCTACACAAAGCTTATGTAATGTGAATTTGTAACCTCTTCAGAGGATATGATTGTAATTTTCCACTAGACTGTATTGTATCTTAAATCTTAAATTGCACTCTAGAAGACTTGATCCTTGCTTCTGGCTCCCTTTCCTGGAATTACTAATTGTATTTAATTAATAATAGTTCTAATTGTACTTAATAATTTCTTTTCTGCTATTTTTCGGAGTTCAGTGTATGATGCTTAAAAGGCAGCCATGGGTTTCAATATTTGTTCACAATTTCTGCTCTGTTGAACTTAATTTGGGATCAAAGCATGGGAAAATCGCAATCTCAGAATAACTAAGCTTTCTGAATTTATGAATTATGGCATGATTTTTTTTTCGGGTTGGAGCTTAATCTTAAAATCAGTAAAACACATGCTGCTATTTTTGCTTTCTATATTTCTGTTGCATCCTTACTATAGTAAGAAACACAGAATAGTTGAGGTTGGAGTGGACTGCTGGAGATATCTAGCCCAACCTTTTGCTCAAAAAAATCAGCCATAGCAGGTTTTTCTGAGTGGATTTTGACTTTTTCACTCTCTCCAAAGATGGAGATTCTACAGCATCTCTGGGCAGCCTGTTCCAGTGCTTGACCATGCGCATGATAAAAAAAAAATTAAAAACTTGCTTAATTTATTGTGAATTAATAAAAAATTTCCTTTTTTTTTTCCAGTAGTTTAAAGTTTGATGCATGCATATTTTTTTTTTTTACAAGAAATAAGAGAATGGCCTGGATCACTCATTGTTTATGTCATACAGGATAGATTTTTTAGTATTTGGAACCAAGAAGACTGTATAAAGGAATTTTCTAGTGTCTTGACATTTGGGTAGAAAATGATCTATGTACAAACTAGTGTTTTGCAGTTTTTTTCATGAGTACTTGATTGTAAGAATTCATTCTAGTTTTGTGCCATACAAAACCTGGAATATTTTTCTATCCTGCAGTTCATCAAAACTGTCTAAGTTTATATGCAAAATTGACTTAAAACTAAGTTGACAAACAGGACCTCCAGTTTGGGTAGGGTTTTACATAAATTCATGTGAGATTCTGAGGCAAAATCCTGACATATTTGAGGAGAAGCCATGCTTATAGTGGTTATAATATTACCATGTTATAGTAACAGCCACTGAGAGAATGTTCAGTATGCACATCTTAGTATTTAAAGTGCTGTGCTTCTGAGAAACTGGCTTTTATTTTAATTCTCATTTTGTAATTTGCTGACAGTATGTGTGTTATATTTGATATAGTGGTTAGGCTACATTCCCCAGAACTACTCAAAATTTGAGGCTGTGTTACATGGGAAGGATGTTTTAGTTTTCCTTTGAAGGTAACATAAAGAATTTAGTTTCTAAGAGCAAATATAGGTATTTTTCATTGCTATATTTTCCAGGTCAGTAACTCTTTGATACTGTGATTTTTTGTTATGTACCACATTAATCCATTAACTGCTTTGATGCTTTTTACACAACTTATATGCAGTATAACTAATTTCAAATCATGGCTTTCTTCCATCACTGAATTGCATGGCATTGTTGCATATAGCTCTTTGATTCATTCTCTCCAGAGTTCAGTATTATTTGTTTATTCAGCTCTTTCTTAAAAAATTACAAAATTTCATGCTCCTAAGTCAGGATTCTGGGAAAACTGTTCTGCTATTCATAGCAGATAATTTAAAGTGTACACTATATGTAAAATGCAGAATACAAACATCCATCTTTAGGTGTGTTTAAGTGAACCTTTTCCAGAGTTTGGTTGATTTATTTAGATATTAAAAGCACGAAGCTGACTTTTTGCATATTTTCTCAAAAAAAAACTCCATCTCCTAGGTGAGTCAATGAAGGTTTTAGCTAGAATTCTTTCATATGCTGAATAAAAGAAACTATTACATTGTTATCCATTTAAAAAGAAATGTATGTTCAAAGAAGAAAAAGAATGTTACAGAGCTATATTCTGATTTCAGTTATCACTTTTTATATGTAAGATAAGATGCATAGGAGGGCTGTTCCCATGCTGACTTTTTAAGTGTTACAGTTAGGCGGGTGGCTGAAATAGATTAGTGACAGATAACATCATAGTGGAAAGGATCTTCTTGATTTGAAAAAGCTGAGAACTGTAACTGTTAATTCACATGTGTTTGTAAATGTTAAAGGGTTGTGCAGTTTGTGTTTGGGACAAAATTATATCAAGGGACTGTTTTTTTACACATCCTAATGCCAAGTATTGTGTTTTATAAATCTAACCAGGAGCTGACGTAGTTCTTTCAGAAATTCTGCAGCCATTTTGGAGTTCTATGACATTTGGGCTTAAGCTGTCTCTCACATTTGGCTGAAGTCCACTGAGACTTTGAAAGGATGTTATTTCCTCAGTATCTCACTGGTTTACGTTGGAGAGGACTGAACTGTTACTTTCCCTGAAATTGCTGTGAATAGTGATTATACAGTCACCAAAGCATGACTTGTTTGGTTTTGAAAGAATCAATTCTTCGACTAAGTGTCAGAATATTATTAAGTGTATTGCTGTGCATAAACATACACATAGTAAAAGGATTTTTGAAGCATACTTGGACTTAGATATACATTCTTAAAGTTTTTGCAAGTAAGGAAGATGAGAAAGACATTCTGTGTTTTACACCATAATGAGAAAGACATTCTGTGTTTTACACCATAATGGTATAGAGAACAAATCCTGTGAGGAGCAGCTCAGGGAACAAGGGTTGTTTAGCCTGGAGAAAAGGAGGCTCAGAGATCTTATTGCACTCTCTAACTTCTGAAAGGAGGCCATGTGGAGTTTTCTGTCTTCTCCCATGTAACAAGTGATAGGACAAGGCCACAAGTCATGCCAGCGGAGATTTAGGTTAAATATTAGGAAATGTTTCTTCATGGAAAAGTTTGTCAAGTATTTCAACCGGCTGCCCAAAGAAATGACTGTCACCAACCCTGGAGGGATTTAAAAGATGCGTAGATGTGGCACTCAAGGTTTAGTGGTGGACTTGGCAGTGGTAGGGCAATGGTTGAACTTGATAATTTTAATGGTCTTTCCCAGCCTAAATGATTCCATGATTCCAAGATATTGAGTCATAATGCTCAAGTAGCAATTTCTTGGTTTTGTGCAGTCTTCCTGTATGTTCACAGTACTACAAGTGTTACGATATGTTAACAGATCCTATGCAGTAGTTAGCTCTGTAGCACTACTGCAAAGAGTACCCAGGAAGCTCGCTCACACAACTATGGTTGAAGTGAAAGGTGGTGATAACTGAAGCTGATTTCCTGCAATTGATGCATATACCAGTCTGTATGATTCTGAAGAGCCTCACTGATTTCAATTCAAAGAATCTTATATTTGAGCAGAACTTTAGAGTTTGGAGCATCAGGACTTGTAAAACCATCTCTTCTTTTCTTTGGAGCTGGTTTCACAAAAATGCTTTTTTTACCATAATATATAAGTCTTAAGTGAAAGTTCAGTGATTGATTGCTTCATGTTTATTATGTGTAATTCCTTCTATACAGTAATAAACCAGAATCGCTAAAGATAGAAATGCACTTCAATTAGTAATAAACTTTTCGATTATTGCTTTGGAAGATACCTGATGTGTTCTCTTTGCTTTAATAACTCTTCTTCTAATCTTTAGAATTTCTTTTTTCTATAAGAGCTTTCAAATGTTAATTATTTAATCATTTTAACACCCTTGAAATGTTGTCTGGTGATACATTCACATTTTATAACACAAGGAGATAAATAGAATATAGTGGAGATTGCATTTGCCTGAAGGATGAGGCTGTAGCTCAGTGTCTGGTAGTCTACCCCTTAAATATCTATATTGCTTTTCTATTGAGCCTCTGAGCCCCTAATGATAGGGTGTTTAATCTGCAGTGTTTTCAGTACATTTCCTTTGGTTTAACAGACGTTCCTGATTTCCTTGGTTCCTGAAGGTCTTTGACAACATGCAGGAAACTGACTCTTAGGCATGATAAATTATACTAATACTAGCAAAAGGTTGTTCCTTTTTGTTCACTTTCCTAGATAACAAAACCTTCTCCATTATGTGACTAGAATACATAATTTTTCAGGAAAGAGACCACAAAGCCCTGGGAAAGATAATCCGAATTGTAGTTCACCTTCAGAACAGTTTTCTGGCTTGTAGCCGGTTTTGTTGTGATTTAAGTAGAATGATAGTGTGGGAGAAAGACATATGAATTGCTCCTAATGTTCCCTTTCACTGAGTCTTCTGTTTTTGGAAACTATTGGAAAATCAGCAGAACTACCAATGGGCATGTGCTGTGTAGAGAATGCACAGAAAATGACACCTCTGGGAGACAGGAGGCCTCCTTCTCTGCATGTAGAGGCTGGCTGTGCTGTACACTGCAAAGTTTTCAGTGGCAGATACAGTGCACTGGTGTGTGTTTAACAGATGTCCTCTAGAAGAGCACTCAGGCTCCATCAGGTGTGGGTTTAAATATCTTTCTGATGTAAAAGTTCAGCAAATACCGTATTCAGACTTTTTTGTCTGGAAATATATAAAGTCACTGAGCAAGAGAAATGTACTGGTCTGTTTAATGTCATTCATGGAATTCATTGA